GGTTCCGATGGGTCATCCCCATTCGCTGGTTCATCTGGCTGTGTTAAAGTCATGGCATTTTGCACATTCTGCTGTAGAATCGATTCTGCCAATGGAGTGGTTTGAGAAGCCTGTGGTGTCTGCAAAACATTTTTAGTAGCAAAGGGAAAGATAGAATCATCAAACCTCACATGTCTACACACATAAACCTTATTAGTCTGTAAGTTCATACACCTATAACCGCGGAATGACTCAGAATATCATAGAAAGACACACAGAGAAGACCTGAAGGACATTTTTTGATGGTTATACGACCGTAAATAAGGATAACGACACTTGAAGACACGAAGGAAAGAGTAGGATGGAGGAATTTTTGCAAAACTAAGTGAGAACTGGGGTTATTTAACATAGTAGATGGCATTCTATTGATTAAATACACATCAGTCTCAAAAGCAAAATCTCAGAATTTATGCCGAATAGAGGCATGAGCCATGAGAGTTAAACCTGTTTCAAGTATTGGTGAGCAAAAAATGAAGACCGACCGAAAAACCGATGAACGATAACCGAACCGACTAAAAATTACGGTTTTCGGTCAGTTATCGGTTATAGTGTTCAAAAAATTTTAGTCATTTCGATTTTTCGGTCGTTATCAGTTTTGGATTAAAAATAAAGAAATCGACTGAAAAACCGAGGGTAAGTCTAAACATTTTAACGTATATGCCTAGCTCATAATTATTCAAAATAATATAATTCATTAGTGAGCCTAATACTAAGTCAGTACTCTGTGAGATTGCGACTATGAACTTGCGAAATGCGAATGCGAATGTGAAATGTGAAGTGCGAACCTGTAGGCTGTAGCTAGTCATTACTCAGTTTTCTTATTTTGTTAATTGCTTACTGCTTACAGTTCTTAGTGTAGTACTATAAAATGTTGTGTAGAAATGTAGTACTGTAGAATGTAGTGTAGTAGTGTAATACATTTGCTTCACTAATTCAAAAATTATATTGCTTCACTAATTCGTTAATTGCTACTGCTTTGTTAATTGCTTCACTAATTCATAAATTGCTTATCTTTGTGATGTTTATTCTATTTTTTTTTTAAAAAGAAATTAGAGCCCGTTAAGTAATTATGTTCGGTTAAAAGTAACTGATCATAACCGACCAAAAATTTTGATTTCGGTCAGTTCGGTTATGAGAATGACTTCGGTTATTTCGATCAGTTATGAGAAGGATAATATTTTTTCGGTTATTTCGGTTATTAATCGAAAATCGACCGATGCTCACCCCTAGTTTCAAGTATGTATCTATGTTTCTTTCAACATGACCATTTTGTTAATGAGTGTAGACACATGACTGTCTATGATTAATTCCAAACTAAACAAAAGAATGATGGAGTTTCTTATATTCAACTCCTAGATCAGATTGAATGAATTTAGTTTTTCTATAGAAGGAACGCTCGACCATAGTGCGAAACTTATCAAAGATGGCATAAAGATCAGATTTTAATTTAATGGGATAATACCAAGTATGGCATGAGTGATCAGCAGCGACGGGAAGGAAGGTCGCCGGACAACGGCTGAGTTCCGTCAACAAATCCCATGAGCCCGTGGCCCTACAAAAAAGGTACCACTTGCATCTTCCAAAACAAAAAATTCGTATGAGTGAGCTTGGTGATGATAAAGTGATGCGCAGTAGAAAGCGAATTAACACCCATAGAACCGGAGGAAGTAACGACAGCATCAGAAACGGTCCGTTCAAAGGAGTTAGCAGATCCGTCAATATTACTGCCTTGGGGTTCCATTGAGAGAAAATAGGAAAGGAACCTGAGACTACTGATACCAGATGAGAACTGTATAAACTGTATTAGATGAACCGTGATTACAACCATGGGCGGACCTAGTGTGGGGGCAGTTGCCCCACTCCCCTACCCCACCCCTTTATATATATGTATGTATATGTATACATAAATAGCATGAAATATTATATAAATATATATTTATGTTGAAAAAATAAATAGTTTGGGTAACTTGGTTGAACTCCAAATTTTATGTTATAAAAGGCTTATGTCATGGGTTCAAATCTCATTAGCAACACTTTTAATTATCTTCTCTCTTTCATTTCTTCATAAGATAAATTAAATATTTTTAGTCTACTTTTTATGAATCATTTAATTAACAAATTAAATGCTCTTTTAGTCTAGTTTTTATAAATCATTTAATTAATGTAGTATACAAGTTTATAATATACTTTATTGTATTCGAATTAAGTTAAAAAAATCGATCTAACTAAAAGAAATTAAAATTTAAAAGTATTTATAAATATATTGTTACTCAAATTATTTTTTCTAATTAATTATGTTTCATATTTTCTCATAAATATATTGTAATTTATAATATATTTTGTATTTTAACCTTATTATGGTTGTTTGATATTTTGTCATTGACATTTCTAACGTCATTTAATATTCGCCCCCACTAAGATGATTTTCTGGATCCGCCACTGATTACAACTGTACAGATTGAGGGAATATATACAAGAGAGAATCATAGGAAAACTAGGATAGAGAGTCATAATGTGACGACAATTTATATCCTGCACCAGGGTGTGCATTACATTATGCGCCCTGATGCAAAACGACGTCGTTTCAGATTTTTTTTTTCAAATTTCGCTACCCTGTGTTGGCGGTTAATTTTCTTTTAAAAAAAATCTCATGTTAAAAAATGTACATAATTTTATACTAGAATAGTAGAATACACATAATTGTATACATAAATATACATAATTGTATAACAAAATACACATATTTTTTTAAAAGATAATACATATAATCTAACATAATACATAATATACATAAACTTTTAACATAATAAACATCAACTCTTAACATAATACACATTTCGGATATTGATGGAATAATTACGGAGCGGATCCGGGCGACGTAATATGAAGCGAATCAGACCCGGGACCCGACTTGACTAAGCACGCGGCCGCGGACAGACCATGGAGGGGTCTGCATCTCCGGGGTCCTCGGCTATTACCACGGGGTCCTCGACTACTATCATGGGGTTCTCGGTACTACCACAGGGTCCTCGGCTACTACCACGGGGTCCTCGACCACTACCACCCCGGGGTCCTCGACCACCTTGGGGTCGGCCAACATGGGCTCGGCACCCCAGGATTAGCCCACGTAGGCTTGACCACCACTGGGTCGGCCAACGCGGGCTTGGTCACCCGGGGTCGGCTCGGCCGAGCTCCGGGCTCAGCCGGGGATGAGGTCTCCGCGTTGTCCGAGTCATACGGTTATTGTTGCGGCCCAAGGCGGTTGGGGGCATCTCCAACGGTTTCTCCGGGGTTGTTATGGCGACATAGGCTATAAAATCCCTCCTTGATGTCCTAATCAAGGCATCTTCTACTCTCTTACTATAGTGGTCTTGTTATTACACGTTCTGAATCTCTGTAATAGCATTATACACCCATTTAATACAATATTCGTACGTTATTTCTACCCCAATTATCATTTTATTATTCGTTCATTATATTCAATCATATAATCGGGTTGTATAATACAGACGTCCGGGTTCATATAATCCATCATTGGTGTTCTTGTTGAGAGCGGCTCTACAAGCTTAAGCGCTCTCCCTACTACCATTCATCTGCAGCGATGACAAGATCCGGGTCGAACACCCACAATTCGCATGATTCGCGTAACACTCGCGACCTCTCCCTCGCTAACCCCACTAACGGGATAACGGCAAACTGGCAGACCGTGCCCGTGGGGACAGGAGGGGACCTCAGAGATCAGATCAACGGGAATTGGCGGGGGACGGCGGAGGACCTCCGGGGTCGGCTCAGCAACAATCGCCCCACGGCGGGTCGGCGCTGCCCGCTTCGCCCCCGATTTTGACCCCCCAAGAGGAGGCGGCCGCACTTGAACAGGCAGCGACCGTGTTGAACTGTGTCGCGGAGGGGCTTCGGCGGGGTGCCCCGGCACCTCCACCCTCGCTCCTTCCAATGGGACGCGGTGGTCCGAGCACCCGGGGCGCTGGCAGATGGAGAAGTCAACACGCTGCAACCGTCGGAGAGGCGAGGCGAAGCGAAGACCAGCAGAGGTTGGCATGAGCAACGGGAGGAGAAGAAGACTCAGCCAACTCGGACCACATCCGCTCTCGGGCGGTTGGGCGTATGGGTGATGGTGCGAGACCGCCTAGGGCCGAGGCCGACCGCAAACGCTTGGCCGGTAGAGTCATCGTGTTCGCGAAGGTCTCGGATCCATGAACCTCGTGCTCTGGGGCTGCGGGAGCCGACCCCCCCACTAAAGCACTCGGGGGAGACCAGAGGCCGACCTCCAAGCTCCCAGCGTGACGAGATGGATCAACTACGCAAGCAGATGTGCGAGTTACGACGCAAGATCGAGGCGTGCGACGAATCACCGGAGGCTCGAGATACCCTAGCCACACCTTTCACAGGGGACACCATGGCCGAGCCTTTGCCTTGAGATTTCCGCCTCCCGACCAGCAAACCCTACCCGTGGGGTCGGGTAAGAACCTCAAGGATCCGATCAACAGCAACAACCAAGGCGGGCCATCTCCGCCTATCCTACCTCAGATCCCCGGGTCTTCAAGAAGGAGTAGACGCGCTCCAACAAGCTACCACCTTGTTGACCCGCTCCGTGGAGGGGCTCTAAGGAGGTGCCCAATCCCCTCCACTCGGCTCGAGACATCTTAGGAGACCCCAATCCTCCTAAGGTGTGTTATGACCCCACATTGCCAACCTCAATTTCGTGAAGGGGGAGAGATCCCAGCTAGTCCTACTTTGGTTCATGGCCGACCTCAGCTTGATCAAACCCCTCTTTTTGTCGAGCACGCGTTGAGAGACTCGGCTTGTCTCGGGTGTACATACTCATGATTTTCGAGTTCACACCGGAGAGCCCATCCTTCTCCCATCCTCCGAGAAGCCAAGCTTAAGGCTTGTTGAGTTCAGCTCGAGGAACTTGGAGGAGCTTGAGCTCGGCTGCCACGACAATGAAGCCCGAGCTTGGCCACCGAAACCACCATGAGAATGAGGAACCAGAGCTCGGCCGCCACGAGAATGGGGAGCCCGAGCTCGGCCACCAAGAGAATGAGGAGCCCGAGCTCGGCCACCACAACTACGAGGAGCCGAGCTCGGCCACCGAGAGTACGAGCTCGTCCAACATGAGAATGAGGAACCCGAGCTCGACCACCGAGAGCACGAGCTCGGCCGCCATGAGAAGGAGGAGCTCGAGCTCGGCCACAATTGGACCTTGCACGGGTCCTCCAGACCATGAGGAGTCCGTCGGACCTTGCGGGATTCCTTCACATCTTGTAGGGCGATAGGAGGTCCAACCTCGCCTATCACCGAACGAAAGAGCTTTTGGGTCCAAGTTAAAGGACTTTGGCTACGAAGAGCTCGAGCTCGACCACCAAGAGAATGAGGAGCCCGAGCTCGATCGCCACAACTACGAAGAGCCCAAGCTCAGCCACCAAGAGAATGAGGAGCCCGAGTTCGGCCGCCAAAACTACGAGGAGCCCGAGCTCGGCCACCGAGAGCACGAGCCCGGCCAACAAGAGAATGAGGAGCCCGAGCTCGGCCGCCACGATTACGAAGAGCCCGAGCTCGGCCACCGAGAGCACAAGGTCGGCCAACATGAGAATAATGAGCCCGAGCTCGGTTGCCATGACTATGAAGACCCCAAGCTCGGCCACCAAGAGACCAAGGACTTTGCAAGGGTGCTTCAGACCTTGCAAGGGTCCGTCAAACTTGGCGACGGTCCTCCAGACCTTGCAAGGGTGCTTCAGACCATGCAAGGATCCGTCAAACCTTGCAAGGGTCCTTCAGACTTAGCAAGTGTCCACTAGACCTTGCAGGTATCCTCCAGACCTTGCAAGGTTCTCTAGGCCTTGCAAGGGTCCATCCGACCTTGGAAGGGTCGTCCTAGGGGAGATACGAGGTCCAACCTTGCCTATCGCCGAACAAAAGAGCTTTTGGGTCCAAGTCAAAGGACTTCGGCCACCGAGAGCACGAGCTCGGCCGCCATGAGAATGAAGAGCCCAAGCTCGGCCACCAAGAGAATGAGAAGCCCAAGCTCCCGCGGAAGCGTGATCCCATCCCACCGGGTCGAGGAATATGACCTCGACCTCAATGAGGAACACCACGCCACAGACCTCCACCTCATTGATGACATAAGGGAAGACGCCATGGTTCGCGCGGAAAATTACCCGCGCCAAGCGAAGACATACCACGACAAGAGAGTCCGACCTCGCTACTTTCAAGTCAGCGACTACGTCCTTCGGAGGAGAGAAACCAGCCGACCTCAGGACGGAGGCAAGTTCGCCAAGAAATGGGAGGCGCCATACGTGATCGAGGCCATAATACGCTCGGGCAGCTACAAGTTGAAGACCCCAAAGGGCAAGCCGATACACAGAGTATGGAACTCGGAGCACTTGCTCAAATTTTATCAATAGATGCACCTTTGTAAGGCGGCCCGACCCCTTAATAATTCTCGCTCGTAATGAAATAACAAATTTTGTTGTGCAATTGTCTTACGGTGAATTGAGAAAGAGTACGGGGCAACCAACCTGACGAGTCCGACTCCGCGGTCGAGAGAACACCGCCGACCCATGGCCGGACACCATGGGGTCGGTCGCCTCAAGGTTGGCTACCCTGGAGTCGGCGTCCAGCTAATCAGCCGCTTCCGCGGGCAACCCCGGTAGGCAGCCTGAACACCTTAGACCTAAGGGCGATACGATGTCCGACCTCGCCTATTGCCGAACGAAAAAGCTTATGGGTACGAGTCGGAGGACTCCAACCCATAATCGCTGAATACCCTAGGGGCGGTACGAGGTCCGACCTCGCCTATCGCCGAACGGAAAGATTCGGGGTGCGAGTCAAAAGACTCCAACCCAAGAATTGCTAAAACGTCCTAAGGGCGGTACGAGGCCCGACTTCGTCTATCGCCGAACGGGCGTAACGCAATCTAATGCCCTAGGGGCGATACGAGGTCCAACATCGCCTATCGCCGAACGGAAAGATTCGGAGTGCGAGTAAAAAAACTCCAACCCAAGAATCGCTAAAACGTCCTAAGGGCGGTACGAGGCCCGACCTCGCCTATCGCCGAACGGGCCTAATGCAATCTAATGCCCTAGGGGCGATACGAGGCCCGACCTCGCCTATCGCCGAACATGCACAACACAACCACAAGGGGTCGGCCAAAGCAACGGTTATCACAAGGATGGGCTACGCCAACCTCGCGAGTTGCCGAGCCCACGGGGTCGGTTAGCCGACCCCATTCGAGGCTGGGTCCAAGGGACAACACACCCAACCCCGCGAGAAGCCAAACCCAAGGGGTCGGCCGACCGAACCCATGTGCAGCCCGTGTGGCCAACAAACACAAAGGAAACAATCAAAAGAAGCAAGAAGTAAACAAAAGCATAAACGAAGTAAGTAGTCGATGTCATTACGAAGACAATAGTTCATGTAACAAAAGAAAGCAGCACCCCGCGCAACAAAACAACGACAGTTCGTACGAGCAAAGAAAATAGTTTGTGCGATACAATAAGCAATAGCAAAGATCCATCACGCACAACTCCAAAATAACCCGAAGGAAGCGAAGCTACTAGGTATCGTGGACATCCGACATCCCCTCCTCATCACCCGGCTGAATAAGACCCTCGACGCCAACCGGATAAATATGAATTTGCTCCAAGGAGACATCCGAGCAAGCAAAGTGGGGAAGGTCGGCTGCAAAGTCCACGTTCAACGAGAGGTCGGTCGCCGAAGTCCGAGGGGATGGTCGGACGTGCATCCCCCTCGGCCACATCCATGGGGTCGGTCGGAGAATCCAAGCTCTCCAACTCGGCGGGGAGGCCCCACGGCACAGGATCAAAAGATCCGTCTCTCTCGCGGAGGATGAAGCAGATCTTACGATACATTGCGAGCTCCCCCGCGTCATACATCACCAACCCTCGCACAGCTACGCATTCTTTCCCATCAGGAAGGCTCATGAGGTCCTCCAAGGTTTCCTCTGCATGCTCGGCAAGGTAGGCCTCTGTGTCCTTGATGAACATCTCGGAGCCCTTGTAACTACAGTTGCCTTCGAAGCCTCCTCGTGTGCCTTGCGCTCCCGCGCCCGGCTAGCAATCAACTCAGCATACTAGCCCTCCAACGCTACATGCTTGCTCCCCATGGCCTTGTGCGCCACCTCAAGCTCCTTGCGTACCCCCTCGAGCTCCTTCAAGACTCTCATCTTAACCATCAATTGGGACTGAACGATCTCGAAGGCAACATCCAGGGCTGCAACCCGAACAATGGTCTACATAATATCAGACTCCAATCGCGAGTGGAGTCCTGTCCGAGCACGGATTGCAATTTTCGCGACGCAATTTTGGGGTCCGTAATTATTAATCGGCTTAGGTACTCTCTTGGGCTGACGACTTCTCGCAGCCCCGAGAGTGGGGGACTGATGATGGAATAATTACGGAGCGGATCCGGGCGACGTAATATGAAGCCAATCAGACCCGGGACCCGACTTGACTACGCACGCGACCGGACGGACCATGGAGGGGTCTGCCTCCCCGGGGTCCTCGATATTCGGGTTGTATAATCCGGACCCCCGGGTTCATATAATCCATCAGATATACATAATTGTATAAAAAAAGATGTACATGATTGTATAAAAAATGTACATAATCGTATAAAAAAATGTACATAATTATATAATACACATAATTGTATAAACAAATACACATAATCACGTCAACTCCCTACATAACATACCAAAACGATGGTAGTGTAACTCAAGTACAAATAGTCTTAATAGGGCTGACAATCGAAAAATTAATAGGTTAGAGAAAAAATTGAATTCGAAAAGAAAATCAGTTAAGCCTGGTTGAAACTTAGTGGCTAGTCTAATTGTTCGAGTTGTTAAAGGTTATTTATTTATTTTTAAAATTTTTATTTATTTATTTTAATAAAAATTTAAGTTTTAAAGATAAATTTTAAAATTTAATAAACATATTAATAAATTTAGGTTTATAGGTGAAAAATATTTAATCTTTTATACATTGAAATAATTAATTAATTATATCTAAACTTTTAAAACTTAGTGAAAAAAAAAACTTAAGTGTTTCATTTTTGTGGTAATTATATATTATCATAGTATCTACTTCTACAAATTCTTGATTTATATATTAACTCGTAACCATAGTCGGTTCTGAGCATGTCTAACATGTGCGACTGCACATGGCCTCCAATTTTCAGGGGCCCCAAATTTATATAAAAAAATTATATGTATATATAGTATACAAGATTTTAGGCTACGTGCAAAATGATTCTCCCAATTTGTGATAAGGTGAAATTGAACCCAATTTTTAATTTCTTTAAAAATCAAAAAAAAAGTGTGTGTGTGTGCATACATACATACATATATATATATATATATATATATATATATATATATATATATATATATATATATATATATATATATATCTTAATCCCTTGATTCCTTTGTCTGGCGGTTCCCAATTTCCTAAATCTCAAATGACAAGTATCATTGTTAATTAAGAATGACAATTTCAAATTCAAAATCTCAAATAACAATTAGCATCTTCACTAGGTCTTCTGCTAATTAGATATTACAGTTATTTTTATTTTTATTTTTAATTCAATTCCCAACTCTCAATTAGCAGCTCTTAAGAGAGATGAAAATGTGGCGATATTGATGGAAATAAATTGTATATTGAGCTAAAATATAGGATATTGAGTATATTAAATTAATTGAAACAGATGGATTATTTTTCAAATGCTACTATTGCATATCGAATATTATTGACTATCCCAATTAGTATTGCCTCTGCATAAAAGGAGGTTTTCAAAGTTGAAATTGTTGAAATCTTACTTGCAACTAAGTGTGTTGCAAGAGAAACTCAATGGAATACCTTTAACCTCCATTAAAAATGAGCTTTTGCAAGAAGTTTATATCAAAAGTTTGGTAAATGATTTTGCGTCTAAATGTGCACGACGCATGTCACTGTTTAAATGAAATTTTAGATTTATTTTTATACAATATTTATATTTTGATACAACTTTTTGAATAACTATTATTTATGTATAAAAATTACTTTAAAAAAAAGCGTCAAATTAAGATATTGCAAGGTCCCAGTTTGTATTGGAACGGCCCTGCTGGTAACTATAATATTTGAACATAATTCTACACATATAAAAATAATTTTTTTTGAAGAGTTTAATTTTGAACTTGATTTTTATAAAGTAAGTATTTTGATGCATTATGTTTTAAAACAATAATGTTATATTGTAATTAAAAAAAAATTGTGTGCAAACTTAAGAAATTCAGTTAGATATAATTTTTTATGGAATTGAAATTACAATTGTTACAAAATGCAAATGTTTGATATTAGTTTGTCAATTTTAAAGGCTATAATATAATTGTTATAAATAATGAGGTATAATTGTTGCAAAACAATATGTTTTACTCTTTTTTTTTTTTTTTAAACAAATTTTCAAAGGCTTGGCCAATAAGTAGTCAATTTTTTTTTTTTTTTTTTTTTTTTTGAATACTATGACTCTATTACATTGTAGTATATGTTTAAATATACTTTCTCAACCTAATAAAGCACACAGAGTTAACAACGCCTCTACTAAGGCTCGATCTCATGACCTCAGCTCCCACATAGTAGAGGTCACTACATGCCATCTGAGCACAAGGTGCTTGGCATAAGTAGTCAATTTATTACAAAATAAATTGTTGTTTATAAAAATAAATAATGAACAATAAAAACTTTTTACATTAATGTTATTTACTCCTCCTATATTGCTCCTACCCCTCTTATATTTCCCT